TAATTCGTTTTCGTTTTCTTTTTTTCGTCCAGTTTGTAACTTCCTCGCTCATGAAAAGTGCATTCCTAATGTCGTATCTCCCTGTACCTGCATAATTCCTTTCCTTATACAGGTAAGTCCGCCGGTTTTTCCTTTATTAACTTTATTCATGTTTGTTTCATTAAATATTTATTATTAGACACAGTTTGCTGTACAAAAAGAAGGAATTAATCTAATATTTCTGCTATCGAAACATTTGATGAAAGTATCATACTTGTCAGCTGAAAGACGCCCTTGTTTAGCAGTCCTAAAATGGACGATAACGTAAAAAACTTTGGTGAGCATGCACATAAACACCTTCAGCCGGAAATTTTGAGAACAAGTTAAACTAGTATGGTTAATCTGGACGACAAGCGACACCACGTTTGGCTGTATGAATGCTGTACTGAAAAATACGGCCCCCCTAAAGTATGACACTCTTCCAAAATAGGTTTTACCTTTGTTTAAGTCAGAGATATATCGATTTGTTCATGTGTATTCTAGCACCTTGGTAAGACCGTTATTAAGCTGTTCGGGCTCACAAGTCCAAACTGAATTTCGATAGATCTTCAACGCACATATCGTTATAAAGCGGAACGCTATCAAAAGTGTATGGACACAGATAAAAAGCAGTCATACGTGAAAATAAATCGAAAATCACGAAGACAAATAGGAGATTAAACCTTGCTTTTGAGCATCATCGCACACCACGAACCTGATGGTTAATTTATGGCGTTCGCAAACCCAAAAGCACACTCGAGGCTCCAAAGTCACAGGCTGACAAGCTACTGCAGTAGTTGAGTATACACACTTCATTACTAAGTGGGAACTGGTCGTGCTACGGAGGTAGTTAAGAGGATCAGTCCCAAACACCTCCAAAGCTGGTTCAGGGAAAATGCCTGATCAGAAGTCTAGCGACCGCTAGATCACCAAAGAGAGGGATCACTCATCGTAGATCATGCGGAAACTTCCTGCCTATAAAATCAATGTTATAAACCCTAGCCATAATCCACGGGCCACTCGGTGTTGAGAGGATTCATTTGTTAGTTTGGCTCATTAGGGGACACGTCTCCATGACTCTACTCTAAATAAGAAGAACCAATCCGATTTCTATCGACCATAGCATGGTTTTGATTGGTACTTGCCTTGCCGAAACCGAATGTCCAAATACAGACGGGTATACACAATAATTAACTGGTGATGCAGAAGTTCGAACCTAATTACCTCGCGACGTACGATTACAAATTCGAAGTTGTCGAAATCTTTCACTCAGGTGAAGACTGATCGCCAACATAATTATAGGAGGCACTTCTGACAGATGAATTGCTTAACAGCGCTCGGTCACTTGCACGACCTGCCCTCAGGTTGTCCAACAGAAAATGTGGATAACAAAAACGGATAGTTTCAACCAATCCGCTAGGTAGCCTGAATGGCACATCTCAGGTTTTTAAATGCAAATATTACATTGAATTTACTCGCTTTTAAGACTGAAAAACTGATATTAACTTTCAAGACGTCAGAACACTACTGTACGTTATGAATGGAAAAGTTTGCATTTCAGGCATTTGCATAGACAAGGAAGAAGACGTTTCGAGCACTGGATCAATGGGCTGAGCTTTCGAACTCTTACAGGAGTCAATCTTTAGAGATGAGAAACAGTAACCAAAAGGAGGGTAATTATAGTGGCCATAAACCAGTCAACTGTCAGAAGTCATCAGGTTGTCAAGGCGTTAGAAACAGCAATCAAGAAGGATGCGAGGGCAATTATAATGGTGTGGGACACATGAACAGCAATTAGTGTGGTGCCTTGTCTCCACTGTAGAGGGTCCTGGTAACCCTGACTCCTCCTCCGGCCGGTTCGGTGTGGGATCCTCTTCGCTTGCTATTCTGAGGTTTAGTTTGGCTCCGTTCTGCCTTTTGCCCACATAATGGCACAAGACTTTATAGGTCGCGGGCAGGTCTAGATGCCTGTTGACAGATTTGGCATCTGCGTACCGTGCCTCCAGCGTCAGCCTTTCGTCTTTTGGGATTCCTCGGCCTACGATCGAAGTCACTGTACGCGTTCCGTCAAATTCTAATTTGTTTTCTGTCACTCCTTCTAGAAGTTTAGTTCTGCTAACAATGAAGGTTTACCAAATATAGACATTCAAAAAAAGTTTCTAAATTGCAGAATAGTTTTGGAACCTACCGACCGTTTGCAAACTGCGTCTTGTGTACATGCAGTGTAAGGTAAAGTACGTTTTCCCTAAGTTGTGAGGAAAAGGTCTCATGATTCTCACAAAATGTTGAAATATACGTGGACCATGCTGTTTACTTTGTGGGTTACATTAAAAAAATGACGGATACGAAATATTATGAATGAAGACTTCACGGTCGTAAAGACGTCTATAATATGACATTTTTAAAATCGAAATATACCCTTTCTTTGATAATAAAGTTTTAGGAGGGCGTAAGAGACTTCCAAAAGAGACTGAAAAAGAATAATTTTGTGGATGGTTTCTATTAAATGTAATTGAATTTATAAATGCAGTCAAAAATGAGTTAAATAACCATTTTACAGAACATAAATCTTGTAAGTGGTCAGAGGGCAACTCGTTAAAAAGCCAGTGTCCTGTTGAGACTGAAAGGACGTGAGATTAGGCTGCACGATACTAATAATAATAATGCCGCTTTACGAGCGATTATCGATCATTCATGAATTTCGGAATAACGTGGAATACGGGCCGTACGGTATTTGGCCTACCCTACTTTATACAGTACTAATCGGTCGGTGTTGTTTGAACAGTTTTGATCGCGTATTTACCATTAGATTACACAGATATTAGATAGACAGGTTTTTTGTCCTCCGGAAATCCAGGCAGCATTTTTAGCTCATTTTTATTGTGGTTTTATACACCCACAGAACGATTTTTTATAGCCTGAGCAAGAATGGAAGCTGTCGGGAATGGTTTTATATATTTGAAGACATTTCGCAGAATTGGATATGCTCTTTAACAGAACGCGAACCGGACAGAAATTTGAATGGGATACGGGAACAATTTTAATTAATCTGATAAAAGTTGCATAGGAACTTCCATCGAAATCGTGGCAATGTTTGTTGCAAATGGTGTCATAAATAACTTAAACAGATAACTAATATGTTGGCTTGAGGTTTTGGTTTTAAAACATGAGCATTCTTGATTTTTGCATCTTTTTTTATTCCCAGGACCCAATGGCGCACTGTTGGTCCGAGCTAGGGCACTTCAAGAGGAAATTCTGCAACGTTTGTCGTAAGCGGTTGGATGATCTTCTCTCCGTCAGGTGTGAAAGTAAGTAGCTCTGTAAAACACTTCACATCTTCAGCTTTCCAAGCCATCCTTTGAGAATGCTGCCTTATTTTCCGCCAGGTCTACCATCTCACTTAAGAATAAACATAATAAGTTATTCTATGAAAAAAACTGCCTGAAGTGGATTCCAGTTGTTCTCGGTTCATGACGCCACCGAAGACCTTAAAGACACAAACGGATTTTTTTCAATTACGCAATCATCTGATGATGTCACGCAATGC